GAGGAGGTGTGATGCGACGGCGGGAGGTGTGATGGTGATGCGGTAATGCCGGTGGTGGCGAGGAGCTCCCCGAGAGCTCGAAGCCGAGAGCGACGACGTGGTTGCAGTCGGACCACTTGCGCTGCCCCACGCCGAGGGCAGCACGCACTTCGGCGCGGTCAAGGTAGGTGGCGACGTTGGAGAAGTCCTGTGGGCGTGTGTGTGTGTTTGGGGGGGGGGGGGGGGGTACACCGCGAGGGGGAGAGGTCTCCACTCACACGAGGTGGTGGGGCAAGGGCCATGCGCCGCCTCGCATCTCCCCACGTCTACGTCGGCGGGAGTGCGGCGGGCCATGCCGTGTCCTCGGCGCAGTCGAGTGAAGGCAAGAGGCTAGGCAGGAGAGAGGAGAGGAGAAGGGTGCATCTGGAGAGCCGGGCGTAGCAGAGCGGCGGCTTCTCGCACGGCTCGCGCATGTCGTACACGTTCATGCCGCTTGCTTGGTACGGCAGTAGCAGCGCCGCGTTGCACACCTCACCGCGACCATGGCGCCGTATCATCAGTTGTCACTCCCCCACCGCTCAGCTAAAGCAGTTAGCGCACCTCGATCGCGACCAAGCACGACGCGGCGACGGCCTGGCACGCCTTGATCGCTGCGATGCACGCCGGCGTGGCCGCCTGCCGAGAGATGGCCGAGAGATGGCCGAGAGATGGCCGAGAGATGGCCGAGAAGATGTGCCGGAGATATGGCGGAGTCGTGGCCGACGTGGCCGCCTGCATCGCAGCGTGCGTCAGGTTGCCCACGGCGGGCTTGTGCCTAGGGCGAGAAGGGTCCGAGAAGGGTCCGAGAAGGGTCCGAGAAGGGTCCGAGAAGGGTCCGAGAAGGGTCCGAGAAGGGTCCGAGAAGGGTCCGAGAAGGGTCCGAGAAGGGTCCGAGAAGGGTCCGAGAAGGGTCCGAGAAGGGTCCGAGAAGGGTCCGAGAAGGGTCCGAGAAGGGTCCGAGAAGGGTCCGAGAAGGGTCCGAGAAGGGTCCGACTTGTCTGAAGGGCTGGGCAGGGGTGGAGGGGCAGGGTACCCGTTGGTCGAGACGACCATGTCCTTGTAGTACTGGTACTGAATCTCGGGAGCGACGAGCCCGTTGCCCACGGACGTGCCTGCAGGGAGGCTCCGAGAAGGTTCGGGAAGCCTCAAAGACCGTCGCGCCGGTAGCCCGTTGGCATGGCCGTGCCCTGCTGATGATGTGCCGCTCATCTCTGGTGACTCTGGAGGTGGATTCGGATCTAATATCGGCGAGTCTCGGATCAACTCGGCCCTTGAGGTTGATTCGGATCGCGCCGCTCGGCAGCGCCTTGTTGTTTGCCCACACCTCGTGCGTAACAGCAGGCACGTAGTGCCCCGCGTATGACTCGCCCACGACATAAAAGTCGAGCGGCTGCAACGCGGGGTGCGCCTGGAGGAGCTGCTGCAGAAAGTCGTACATGTCGCGCGCGACGCCCGCCTCGTCGTGATCGAGGCCGCTGCCGTACGAGAAGCCCGTGCCCGCGGGCTGGTCGATGTACACCAGGTTGGCCCGCGTGTTCCAGCTGTACTTGTTGCGGATCGTGCCCGTGCCAGCGGCATTCACTGAGCAAGGACCATTCTCGCCGAAGAGCGCGACCTCACTGCTGCAGCCGGGCCCACCGGTCATCCACAGCACGAGTGGGTCCGTCTTTGGCGCCGACCGGCTCTCGAAGAACCAGTAGAAGTAATGCTTTCTCCCGGTCGTCAGCTTGAAATAGCCCGAGTGCTGGGTCACGTTGTCGCAGATTGCGGCCGAAGCCGGCTGCGTCACCTCCGCAAGCGTCCCGCCGCGGGCGGCCGAGTAAGCGGTGGCTGCGACGACGGCCACCAGGATCATACCAGCTAAAGTGCTCCCCGTGCACGGCGGGTGGTGGTTGACTTCTCTTCCGCGATGGGACTTTGTTTTCTTTTTCTAGGGTCGGCCTCACACCGACATACTTCCCGGCCCGCCAACGTTGTCGAGGGGGATGCGACGCAGCCAGCACCAACATTGCAGCGCCAGCAGCTCGAGCTTGCCAAGGGACGAGCTCGACGGAGCCGCGCGGTAGTGTCCGTCCCGTCGTGCGTGCCTCGCACTCTACTCTTCCCCCTCGCTCGCAAACTCAAAGACAGCGCCGTGAGGGCACGGACCCACTGCAACTCCCCTACTGCGTCTCGCGCGCGATGGCGAAGCCCAAGACGCAGTGGCCAAAGTCGAGCGCCGCGATGCCGTTCGTGGCTCCGGCCGAGTCGAGGTGGTACCGCTCGTGGATCTCGTAGAGCGAGAGGACGAGGAGCGCCGCCCGCGCGCGGGCCGCCGCGGGGAAGAGCGAGTGGCTTGCCGGCGACCACGGTTCACGATCGACGATGGTCGATGGAGGCAACCGATGCGAGTCGACTGGTGTACATGCAGTAAGGTAAGGTAAGGTAAGGTAGATTTCTCCACACACACAAAGTGGTGGGGCAAGGGGGGGCGACCCTCGCATCTCCACGCCCGGACACGGGCAGGAGCCCCACGGCATTCAAAGTGCAAGCACTGGCCAGTATATGTGTCGTCGAACGTGGTTTCGTATAAGAATACTCACTCACACACTCCGCCTCGGCATAGCCGAGATCGACAGCTACAACATGCTCTTCTACACACACGCACGCACGCTCACACACAGCACACACACACACGCGCGCGCGCACGCACACACACACCATGACACATCGCTCCCGCGCCCACAGGCATCCCGCACACCCGCCGCGCTCCGCCCCTGGTCCGCCGGGAGAAAGGGGAGAGAGATTCAGTCCGTAGTAGTTACAACACAGCGTCCTTCTTGCGCATTGCCCTGCATTCGGTTTTGTGCAACGGCCAATGCGCTGCTTGGCACTCCTCATCGCAATACATCGCCCAGCGGCATTTGGCGCAGAGCTTCATGCGCATGGTGGTCTTAATCAGGCACCCGCTGCATGTATTGAGCTGTGGCTGGTCTTCAGACCCCCACAAGCATTGTTTTGCGATGCCCCACCGAGCCGCATCACGCAGTTCCTCGGCGCTCTTACCTCGAGCCCTCGAGGCGCTGACTAGATTGCTGCGAATCGTAGCAAGGTTATCGAGGACCGCAGCGCCCCCTCTCCCGCGCAGCTGCAGCGGTGGCATCATCATACCCCAGAGATAGGCACGCTCAGCCATGTCAAATTCTCCCGCGCGCTTGAGAGCCAATCCGAGGCAGTTCCACATGAACGTGTAGTACTGGGCTGCGACCCGCCCAGTTTCACCACTCAAGATGCGCAATGCAGCCGCCTTGTAGGTCAAGATTGCTGCGATCGCAGCGCCTGGCACACCGCGGTCGCTCGCCATCTCGTGCATCTCTCCACAGACAGTCGAGACAAAGCAAAAGTCCTGTAAAGCTGTCGGACGATCCGATTTGCTGAGCAGGGCCAAATACGCATCCGCCGCCCGCGCAAACAGGTCCGGCCGCTTACGCTTTATCGCTGCCACACGTGCTGCTGAGTGCGAGCCGAGCAGAGTGCCCATGTCACCGACCTCAGCACCGGCCATAAGCACTGTCAGTGGCACCCTCCTGTGGCAGTTCTCGGGCGTCACTGGGCTGCGAATCGGAGCAATGTTGGCGAGCAGCTCGTGTGCAACCGCGCCTTGCTGGCCGCAGTCTTGAAACGAGCTGGTTGTGGAGGCAACCCAATACTCTGTGGTTGAGAGGAAGACGACCTGGAACTCAGAACGTGCAGGCACGCAAGTGCGGCCTAATGCGTCCAGATCAGCCTCGTGCATATCCAAGTGCTGCACACTGCGCGTAGCAGAGGGCCACTGCCAGAAAAGCGCGTGAGCTGCGTCCCAGCTCTCGCAGCATCTGAGGGCATTGACGAGGGCCGTGGACTTTAGCACCGAGCGAACGTCAACGTGTCCTAGAACGCCACGTGCTTCGAGTGCAGGCTCCTCGATGGTGTAGTAACGAGGACCGCAACTCAGGGTGGCGGCGGCGGCGGCGGCAAGCATGGCATCATCATCAACCTCTTGCGGCGCCGCCATCACGCCGAAAGCTCGGGTGTCGTACATGAGCTTATCCGAAGGCGGGACGCCCACGAGCAGCTGCTCATCTGCGGGCGGCTGGTGACGAGCGACGTCAATTTTGACGGACCGCAGTGGCTCTCCAGGATCACCGTAGTGCACCTCAAAATCATAGGCCTTGGCGCGCTCCTTCCCTTTGCCTTTCTTGCCCATCGCTTCTACTGTCTGGTATAGCCCCAGCCTACTCCGCGAACTCTCGAGGATCTCGTTGTGGAGCGCTCGCTCGGTCTGCGAACTCTACGTACGCGCTCCTCTACGTACGCGCTCACTATTAAAAAGTCAGAAGCGGAAAAGAATTTTACAACCACTCCCTCGCACAACACTGGGCACGGGACTGGCGCGCACTGGCGCCTCGCCGGCGTACTCCTCCTCGATCTCCCGACTTCCCTCCAAAAGAATTCAGACCGCGACCGCCACGCCCGCCTCGAGAAGCAGCCGCCAGCCGGACGATGTCGACGCGGCCCTTCTCGCACGCGATGTACAGCGGCGTGGCGCCATTCTGCTTGGTTTGGTCCATCGCCGCGCCAGCCTCGAGGAGCAGCCGGGCGCACTCGACGTGGCCCTCCTGGGAGGCGATGAACAGCGGCGTGGCGCCATCCTCGTGGGCTTGGTCGGCCGCCGCGCCAACCTCGAGGTACGAGGAGCAGCCGGACGATCTCGAGGTGGCCCTTCTCGCTCGCGATGAGTAGCGGCGTGGTGCCGTCGTTCATCGCCTGGTTGATGTCAGCGCCAGCGTCGCGCAGCAGCCGGGCGATCTCGACGTGGCCCTCCTGGCAGGCCATGTACAGCGGCGTGCAGCCGTCGTTGCGTGCTTGGCTTACCGCTGCGCCAGCCTCGAGGAGCAGCTGGGCGGTCTCGAGGTGTCCATTCCTCGCGCACGCGATGAACAGCGGCGTGGCGCCATCGCCGCAGGCTTGGTCGGCCGCTGCGCCAGCGTCGCGCAGCAGCCGGGCGATCTCGAGGTGGCCCTTCTGGATGAACAGCGGCGTGGTGCCGTCGTTCATCGCCTGGTTGATGTCAGCGGCAGCGTCGCGCAGCAGCCGGGCGATCTCGAAATGGCCCTTCTCGCACGCGATGTACAGCGGTGTGACGCCGTTCTGCTGGGCTTGAACCCCTCGAGCTGCTAGAGCGGCGTCGCAACTCGTCGAGCGTAACAGCAGTCCGCCCTCGGATGACTTGTTGAGCGCGCCATAAGCCGCCCCCGTAAGGCACGCGGCAGCCATCAGGGAGCGCGATCTCGGTCAGCTGGTGCCGTCGCGTGGGTACGGTGCGAGGAACGACATGCTGTGGCAATGACGAGAGGTGTGCCTCGAAGACGCGCGAAGGGGAGAGAGAGAGAAACGACCAAACCTCACCCATATAGATACCGACTCACAAAACGTTAACCCACTCACCATCCGGGGCCTACGAAGCGTTCACCCACCCACTTTTTCAAGAACGGGGCTCCATTGAGTCCTGGTTCAACAACGTAGATAACAAGAGGGGGTGGCCGGGCTCACAGGTCCGGTTCACGCGCCTCGAGCTCG